ATTAGCATCAAACACCATGAGAACCTACTGAGCAACACCATAGCCCTTCGCACTCGCCTGATTATGGGTGACGATTGTTAAACCTTCCCAAAACAATGACACTGCAACAACAGCCTTTGCTTTTGTTTGTATGAATTAAAAAAAAATCCATGGAGAAAAAATCTATAGGCCAGATTGTGCCTGATCCTTATAGTGGTGTAGAGTCAGAGAAAACCCAGGAGTAAAGGGAACCTGCCCAAACCAATTGTGCATCCCACAGAAAGGCCAGGATAGAGCTGTTTAAAAAGAAAACAAAATAGTTCAAAAAATGAGCATTTTACTGGGTTGGGTTGGGTTGGGTGGCGGGGGGGTTATAATTTTTGTTAAATTTTGACTGTTTTCAAACCTCTCAGCATTTTCTCTAGAGATCCTGATGAAGATTTTTGTCAGTCCTTTCCATTGGTTTCTTTTCTCCTCATCATAATTTTATGAAAAATGTAGTGAAAATTTTTAAAAAATGATCGCCTCTTAGAGCCAGGCAAAACAACAGTCCCTGCATGAGGGGAGTGCAGGGGCTTCTCTGTGCCTAAACCCTAGGGGTGCAGGATGCCCCAAAGGGGCAAGGGAATGGCAGGGAGGAGATGGGGCCCTGTTCCTGACAAGCCCTCGTGCACTGAGCTGCAGAGCAAGCCAGCTGAGTAGGGGGCAGTTAGCTGCAAGCTGTAAAGGAGCAGAGCAGTAAGTATGCTACCTGTACATGCCCAGGAGCTCCAGGTGGCCAAATCTAACTGCACTTTGAATCCTCTCCACATCCCCTTACACTGGGCTGTGTCTAGGTAGACAGATGGAATGCTATAGGCCAGCCTTTCCCTCACTCACCTGGGCCAGGGTGGTTAACACTGATGACGTGCCCCATGTCTAGTTTTTGTCATTAGTGGTTCCACGGGGATGCTTAGCCCTCCTGTTCAGAGCACTTGGCTTTTCTTCCTTTCCTTGGCCTCCGCTTCCGACATTTGTTTACGTTCTTCTCTTTGTTCTCGGGTCTTTAACTTATTTATAAAAGCGAGGGCCATTTGCACTGTGACTTCCTGTTGTTTCCAAGAAGTGTCAGACAGGTGCTACCCACGTTCTGATGAAGAGCCTGACTAGCTCCCTTACTCGCCTGAAGTGCTACCTCACTTCACTGAAATGATTGGCTTCTCCAGGTGAGTAGCTGGGAACGGAGGGTAGAATCCAAGCTCTAAGTGAGAGCAACAACAGTGCATTAAAGGGCAGCAGTATCTGTAATGGGTCAAATTCTGATCCCCTCCTGGTGAGTCGCACCTTCTCTATGAGTACCGCTGTTGACTCCATTGAGCAAGGGGACCACAGGCTGGCCCTACATGATGGCTACTTTCAGGAATCTGCCTCTGCGGTCCCCACTAGCACCTGGAGTTTTGCTTGTGCCTTTGCTCTTCAGTTTGATGGGGAGCATTTGATGCTTTCAGTCTATGGAAAGGGGGATGCTGCATGTGTCGATTTTCTGCATTCATCGTGGTGGTGGCTTTGGGACTGAGCAGTGGCTTTGTTTTATTAAAGAGGCAACGTGGTTTAGGGCCAGCTTATGATGCCCTCCCACCGTGAATCATGCTAGGCTGTGCTGAAGTCAGTGAGATTTCTTGTGGAGGATTGTGCTCTTCCCCAGGAGTGAGGGAACCAGAATCTGGGTCCCAGCGAACAAGGCACAAGGCTGGCAGGTAGAAGATCTGGGCTTTACCCCATCTCAGACACGGGCTTCCAGTGCAACTTGGGGCACTTCACCTCCCTGTGCCTTATTTTTCCCTCTCTGATACTTACCTGCCTCAGTGGGATGTTATGAGAGTTAATTAGTTAGGATCAAGTTCTGCTTGGCACATTGTGGGGAGGGCAAGGACTGGGCAGAAGGAACCTCCCCTCCCCTTGCATAGGTCACATAAAGGCCAAACTGTAATGATGCTGCCTTTGGTGGGACACTACTGAGAGTATCTATTCAGGACAAATTGCTTTTTTGCACCGACAAACAGCTATTTCCCACCAGGTTAGAGTCCTCCTCCCCCGGTCATAGCATAATGGGTTAAACACAGAGTAATATAGCATACCAACATTGCTATAAACTGGACTTTCAAGATGATAGTTTCTGCTGTTCTTCCATTGCTTTTTTGACTTGGAGCTTAAGTCTGGCAGTTTCTTGTTGCTTCTGGCGAACCCTCTCCTCAGCAGCCAGCCGTTCCATGTGCCTTCTATGAGCCCTTTCCTCTCTCTCAGAAGCTTCTCTTTCCAATTCAGCCACTCTTTCTTTAGCTTCTCTCTGTCTTTCAGCAGCTTCCTTCTATCTTTCAGTTGCTTCTTCTTCCAGCCTTCTTCCAAGGCTTGCTTCTCTCTCATTCGAATTTCTGCCAGTTTTTGTTCCAATTGCAGGCTCTCTCTCAGGGCTTGCAGTTTCATTGCTTCTGCTGATGCTTTCTGGCTCATGATCACTGATCTTTAACCAACACAACTCTCAATACCAAAATTCCAATTTGGATCGCGTGGGGTTCTGATCCAAAGCTTAATTGACCTGCTTCTGTGGATCCTAACATGACTACGCCACTGTAACAAAGCTGCATGTGGCGGGACACTACTGAGAGTATCAATTCAGGACAAATTGCTTAGAGCAGGGCAGTTACAGCCCAAAGCTGGAGCTCCTTTACTATTAAGGCACGCCGAACCAGCCAAACAGAGAGGACTTCGGTTTTACCCCACTGGCTAACCAGAAGTCATACAAGCAATTACCTGAGATATTCCAGTTCCCTTGTATCACCACCAGCACCACTCCTTATGGGGATGAATGGTTATGAAAACCAATGCCCCAGTAAAAGAAAAAAGGACCAAGCCCCAGACCTAGGTCAATATACCAGTCAGATCTTACCCACAAATCACGCTGTTGCCAATCCTTTAGAATCTAAAATCTAAAGGTTTATTCATAAAAAGAAATATAGATGAGAGCTAAACTTTGTTAAAGGAATCAATGACATACAGTAATGGCAAAGTTCTTGGTTCAGGCTTGTAGCAGTGATGGAATAAGCTGCAGGCTCCAATCAAGGCTCTGGAGTACATCCACAGCTTGGATGGGTTATTCAGTCCTTTGTTCAGAGCTTCAGTGTAGCAAAGTTCCTCCAGAGGTAAGAAGCAGGATTAAAGACAAAGTGGAGGGGTTTCCAGGGCCTTTTATATTCTCTGCCATGTGGAAGGACACCTTTGTTCTTACTGTGGAAAATCACAGCAGCAAGTGGAGTTTGGAGTCACCTGGACTAAGCATGACCTAGTTCTTTTCAGACAGAGCAGCCATTGCTCATGTGCTGCCTTGAATGTTCCCAGGGAGGCTCCTCATATGTGGATTGGAGCCTCCAAAGGTCCATTGTCAGTTAAGTGTTTCTTGATTAGGCACTTAATCTGAAGATTCCTTTCTCAAGAAGCTGACTAAATGCTTCACTAATGCTACTTAGAATCAAACACATTGAGATACAAGTACATAGACAATATTCATAACTTCAAATACAAAAATGATACACACATACAGACAGCATAATCATAACCAGCAAATCATAACCTTTTCATAGACACCTTACTTGACCTCCTTCATGCAAGATTTGGTGCCACTATAGGACCTTGGTTGCAACAACGATCTATATGGTCACAGTGTGTATTAATAATGTCACGCAATAGACTGCTAATCCGCTTGTCTCTCTGAACGTGGACCATCAAAGAGATACGGGGTGGGTGGGGAAGTGGTGGAGCTATGGCTCTTCCCCCTTACATACCAGCTTCTGGAGTGGGCCTGGCATGCTGGAGGAAGCTGGCTGCATCCCATCACAGGTCTAGAAGTGGGTGCGGTACTCGTGCACACCCACGAGCTCCTCCAAGGCACAGTCTCTCATGTGATAGTGCAGCTCCTCACCATGCCCAATGTGCAACGGAGCCCTTAAAGTTTGTGAAGTGTTTGGAGCACCTCCAATGGAGAGAAGCATTCCTATTCCTTATTGAACTAAAACAGTCCAGGTTGTACTATGCGCAGTGAACACCATGCTTCAGGGATTTTTTTAAAATAATGTGGCTAATTGAGAAACAGTGTGAAAATTAATCCTGTGTTATACATAACTGGGAAAATGACTGGTGCTCAGTGTGGCCCTTTGTTGGCAATCAGTCCCCTAAACCTCCTGCTTTCTCTGACGCTTCTTCCTCCATAGGACATGGGTACCATTTTTCCCCGTATCTCCCTACCAAAGCACTGGGACAGCAGGCAGCAACCGAAAAGCTTAAACAGGTTGTTAACCTACAGATCCCCTAGGGTTTGAAATCAGAAGTCGGGTGTATAGGCATAGAGTTGAGGAGGGGAGAAAGGGGGGAGTCTGTTAAGCATTTGGCACTACTCATGCTGCCTGTGGTAGATCTGTGGGAAGTGGGGAAAGAAACCTGATCACAAAAACAGGCAATTAGAAAAAGGCAGAGTCTCATTTATGTCACAGATTCTCTGATTTATGTACTAGGTCAGTCACAAAAGAGTAGTTCTCCGGTGGGCCCTGTGGAAAGAGAGTGTAAACTCACTTAGACTGTAAGCTCTTTGGGGCTGGGCCCGTCCATTTGTTCTGTGTTTGTACAGCGCCTAGCACAATGCGGTCCCTGGTCTACGATTGAGGCTCCTAGGCACCCCTGCAATACAAACAGTAAGAAGTCACAAACTCAATGTGCCTGAACCTCCATTTAGTTACACCAGTTTTGACTTCAGTGGAGTAGCTCTGGTTTAAAACCACCTGCAACATGGCAGCATCCACAAACTCCCTATGGGCTAGCTTGTGCAACTGTCCTGGTGAGCACCCAATCACATAAGCAGTGCCAGTGAAATCAAGGTGAGGAAGGGCTGCACAATCTAGCCCTGTGTTATCAGACCATTACCTTTACTGTCACATTTTTAACAGTCTTTTACGGCTGCTAACTTTGCATCGTGTCTTTTGATTCACAGGAACACAAATCGGGAAAAGCTATCCTGGGGTTTCTGCACACCGCTGTGTCCCCATAATGAATGAATCCAAGCTGGAATGCCCATCAATGCCCTATGAGGACAGCAGGATACTGCTGGTTGTGTGCTACAGTATTGTTTTTGCCTTAGGTTTTCCAGCAAATTGCTTTACTACATGGCTAACATTTGTACAGATCCGAAGAAAGAACGTTCTTGCCATCTACATTTTTGGCTTATCGCTGTGCGAGCTGATGTACTTGAGTACCCTGCCCCTCTGGACTACCTATGTACAAAACAAACACAAATGGGAGATGGGGTCAGTGGTTTGCAAGCTAACAGGATATATCTTTTTCTGCAACATATATATCAGCATTCTGCTCTTGTGTTGCATTTCTATTGATCGCTATGTAGCAGTGGTGTATGCTTTGGAATCCAAGGGAGTGAGGCATCAGAGAACTGCAATCTTCATCACATCCATTCTCTTTTCTGCGGTTTTAGTAATCCACTGCCCAGTATTTATTTTACCAGATGGCGAGCAGACTTCAAACCGTACAACCTGCTTTGAGACTTTACCACTCAACTTTCAATTGGCTTATTTCAACCTTGCCAGGTTCCTAGCTGGATTTGCCATTCCTTGCACAATCCTCATTTTCACAAACTACAAAATTTTCCAAAGTACCGAAACAAGCAGCAGCTTGGGCAAACGCCAAAAAGCCAAAGTGAAGTACTTGGCTCTGGCCATCATCACCATTTTTCTGATCTGCTTTGCTCCCTACCATTTGGTGCTCCTGATAAGATCCATAAACTTTCTTTTGCATCAGAACGGCTCATGTGCATTTGAACTTCGCATATATTCTACTTCTGCGGCCTTTCTGTGCTTATCCACTGCTAACAGCGTTGCTGATCCAATCATCTATGTCTTGGCTAGTGAACATGTTAGAAAAGATTTCTATGAAAGTATGACAAAATGGAGATATCAGTCATCCATCAATGCCAGCCTCAAGTTGAAAAATTCAAAAGAATCACAGGAAGTAGCACAGACATTGGAAAATCAAAATTTACCATAATCGCCACACTTTGAAAGGAACCGTAGAGATGTCAACCATCAACAGTGTCTTAATGAGGGTTCTGCTAGCAGTGTTTAAGGTGCCCCCCAAAAGAGATGGTGGTCACGTGTTTGGGGCATCACAACATGGGGATATTGACCCAACATTTTGATGTGGCTTTGTCACAATGCATGGCCCCAGCACTAAGTTCCTGGAGGCTATGTCGGAGGAGTGTGAATGCCTATCAGATGAGGGATCTGATGTCTGCCTCCCAACTTACTTAAACCACAGCCCGCCAGTATTTTCATTCTAAACCATGCTTTGCAAGGAGCAGCTACAGTCAATTGACTGGTTTCCTTCAAGTCAAACTAAAACTTGACAAATTTGTTCTCAGGCTCAATCTTTTTCTCGTACGCTTTCATCTTAGAAGGGGACTCTGTGGGTTCTAATCGAGATGGAACATCCCAGGGTTTGCATGCATACATGCAGTAGTATTTGGGGTTAAACATTGGAAATGGTAGACCCAAATTAAAGCCCTGTAAATATTTCTAATAAGCTTTAGACATTTGGTTTTAATTTACCTGACATCCTCAGCGGAAGGCAGAAATCAAGAAGAGTTCCTTGCGTTCAGAGTTACCATAAGTGACCAGCTTAGAGCATACAGACAAAACCCCTGCATCAAGCTATTGTACAGGTCTGGAATTCATGGAATCATCTATTTCAAATGTTTGATTCTTTGTTCAAATCTTGTACTGTACTTGATAAATCTTGCAAGACGTTGTAGCATCTAGTACATTTATGACTATTTTTTATGATTCCTCTACAGTTTGAACTTGAACCTTATATCTGAAGGGTTTGGCTTGCCATCAATCCCTTGCAAATAGAACTGCAGGGTCTAATTTGGGAGCTGATCCTTCAGTATTAGTGTTTGGTCCAGATCCTAGCAGATAAGAGTCCACAGCACAGTTGGCTGCCTTATTAACAGCAAGGGATTGAGACGCAGAGGCTGATCTACCTTCTGGCACTAGTTAAGAGCTCCCCAGGACATGATAGTGGTATACGGGTGAGACAGTGCTGAGAAACTTTCATTACTGCTGGCTACACTGTACCTCCGAATAAATGGAGATATGTAGTGTCCAGTGCCTTCAACCCAGCATATCTCATAAGGACAAATTAAAAACAAACAAAAAACTAAAACAAGTAATTGTCAGATGGCAGCACATGGTCTGCAATAAGATCTCATGCCTTTCAGACTCCTACAGTCCATACGTAAAGTGGGCAAAAGATGACATGAAATCTTATCTTGAAACATTCTTGGTATTTCTTTATTTAAATTAGACTTTCAATGTTCTTCTAAAATACAGTAATGTCATTGTAATTTATTTGTACTGTTGCTCCCGTATTTCTTTTACTTAATTAATGTTACCTTCTGGACTAAACCAGAATCAGATATGACTGTATATCTACTGTAATGTTTATTGTAACTTTTATTGCAATTTAAATGTATCATACTCTATTCTTTTTTACATTTTGAAAAAGATATCTTTGAGCCTGTTATAGCAATAAAATAAAAACCAGCAGGATCTTATTAAAGGGGAAAAGGCAAAATACCACATTTATTGTGAATACAGAAAATCATAGTAGGCAGTTAGTTATAGCTATAACATTCCATTCAACCTCATATTTATTCACACATTCATTCATACACACACACACAGGTTCTGCTATGTTGTTATCATAGTTACTAGCCTTAGAGTTGCTCATGCCAAGCCACTGGCCAGGTGGTCTGGACATGAGGAGGGAGCAGGGCCTTGTCAGATGCACATCTGATGCTCCTGGAAGTTGGTTTGCAGAATCAGACCCCAAAGTTCTCACTTTCTAGAGTCCATTTTTATAGGAATTTCTTCCTATGCCAGTCTATGGGAATTGCTTCATCATGCTGTTGCTGAATCAATCAGCAGATGTCACATTCCTGACGGCTCCGTACTGCCAGATGTTATCTTGTTCTTTGGTTCTCCCATTCTTGAGGCTGTTGGGTGGATTCCAGTCTACCCTCCGGGGGGGGGGGAGGGAGGGGAGGGGTCCTCTGGCTATTTCCACTTGACACCTTCTTCAGCCGATGGACACTGCATTCTTAGGCTGGCACCTCCCTGATCATTTAGTTATTATCCACACCAAGCATCCATCCACATACATCCTCTATCTCTATTTTAATCACAATTGTTAACAAAGCGAGATGAATACAACAAAAGGGCGGGGAGTCTCTGGGTGCTGTTTCTGTTGTTACAGAGTATTGCTTTGAGTTTCTCTCTGTGTGAGTAGTTGTTGCTACAAAGAATTGCTTTGAGAACAGACTCTGACTTAGAATGTACTAACACAATTAGCAGCTTGCAAGTTTCACACATAGAGGGAGAGAAACAGTACCAAAAACCAAGAGACCTCTTAATTAGTAATACCCTGGAATTTAAACTATGGGGAATCAAACTCATTTGTGATTTTAATACAGAACTTCTTTAATATGATCCAACAAGCCAGCAGGACTTTACCTGAATTTAGTATATTTATTTAATGTTTATTATTTCTATTAGCTATTTCAATTATCTTCTGGTGCCTATCCTCAAAATGACAGGTTTCAGAGGAACAGCCGTGTTAGTCTGTATTCGCAAAAAGAAAAGGAGTACTTGTGGCACCTTAGAGACTAACCAATTTATTTGAGCATGAGCTTTCGTGAGCTACAGCTCACTTGATGAAGTGAGCTGTAGCTCACGAAAGCTCATGCTCAAATAAATTGGTTAGTCTCTAAGGTGCCACAAGTACTCCTTTTCTTTATCCTCAAAATGTCTGTCTCCCAAAAATATTTAGGAGAAGGCTGAGTGCTGTTTGGGGATTGTTTCTGAAGATAATTATATCTTTGAAGTTTGGAATTGTTACCAGCTTTGCCCAGTACTTTGGGGTATGCTCATTTATTAGGGTTACTCTTCTGGGGAGATGGGGGGAGGTTCTGTACTTCTATCAGTGTACTGCTTGAGTCACTTCAGTTTTCATATAGAACTCTAGTTCTCCCTGCCGCAAGTTCCCACCCACTGGAGCTATCCTGCAGGGCCTAGATTCCCCAGGGCTGGGTTCTTTCAAGCCTCAGAATCACACGAACACGCACACATTAACAGGGCGCGTCTGAGAGGACGGGGTTAATCGGCACTCCCAAGCTGGCCCTTTATATGTCCCTGGCCTCAGTAAGCTGGGTCGAGCAGCACCTCCAAGCTGTCACCCCAGGGGTGAAAGTAAAATGCAGATTTTACCGATACGGGGCTGCTCTGGCTCCCCCCGAAAGGGGCGAGGCCTCGGGCGGAAGGGGTGGGCTGGGGGTCAGCATCCCCAAGCCAGTCCGTCTGTGCTCCCTGGCCCACGCTGCCTGTGGCTCCGGCGGCGATTTAAAGGGCCTGGGCTGCGGCTGGCGCAGCCGCGGTAGCAGCAGAGGTGGCCGGAGCCCTGGGCCCTTTTAAATCGTGGGCCCGGGGCAGCTACGTCTTTTGCCCTCCCACCGTCAGCGGGCGGGGGGCGGAAAAGGGGCAGTGATATTAAAGCGCTGCCGCGGCAGCTTTTTAACATCGCTGCCCTTTTTGTGCCCCCCAGCTGGGTCATCGCTGCCTCTTTGGGGCCCCCGCACTGGCGACCCTGCTGGTAGGGACCCAGTGGGGGCGCAAAAGGGGCAATGCTTTAAGCAGCGCTTTAAAGTCAGCAGTACGGGCCGGTCCTGGCGGCTACCTTTTACCGGTACGCCATACCGGCCCATACCCCCTTACTTTCACCCCTGGGTCACCCTCATATGCCACAGGCACTGCACCAGAATAGAGCAGGCTGGGTCGAGCAGCACTTTCAATCTGCCACCTTCCTATGCCCCTGGACTCAGCAGACTGGGTAGAGCAGCACTTCCAAGCTGCCACCCTCATATGTCCTGGGTTCAACACGTCTCTATCCCCACTTTCACATTACAATTGTTCTGGTAGTAACCCGCTTGATCAGCATAGGATTTTGGGGCGCTGCGGGGATCTTTTCGCTTCGGTATGAGGAGCATTGCTACGGAACGAATGAGGAAACTAAAAAACACTCACGAGGGGAGCGGGGGGAAGAGAGAGAGAGAGAAGCAGCCAGCTTAATCATGAAAGTTATTTCTTGCCAGGTAATAACCATAGGGGAGCCAAACAAACAAAACAGTTCTAATATTAAATCTAATTGATTGTGGTTCCTAGGTGGTGGTGGTGGTAGCTGAGAGACAGGCAGAGCCCCCAGCATGATCAGTCAGAAGATGAAGTCCCAATGGATCAGAGGCAGATTTTGGATCCAGGCATCAGAACACTTACTTGAGCATGCCTAGGGGTTTTTGTAGAGAAGCAATAATAGTTCAAGGGAGAACAGTAGATTTGTTTATGGGTAAACCAATGGCTCAAAGGAGTATATCAAAGTTGTTTTGTTCAGGCTAGACAACGGAAGCTGATCATTCATGGCTGTGGACGGTATTCCTTGAAGGGAGCTCACAATGCAATTAGGGAGCTTCACTATTTTAACACCAAGAAAGGATTTATTACTAGAATTGGTCTGATAACTACAGAGATGGGTGTGTGCAGGCGTGGGTTCATTAACATCTGGAGCAGAGATCCCCCATCATGCAGTGCTTCCCTGCTTTTCTGGGCTCAGAGTTTCTTGTGGTTCTTGCCTTGGAATCTCTGTTTTCTATTCTGTATGCTAATAGAGATGCCTGCCTGTCCCATCTTCGCTGCAAATGAGGCTAGGGGAGTTTCCTTAATCCTGTCACCCTTGTCCTAGGCATTTAGGTGTGTCTCCCACTGCCTTTTCATTGATTTTTGTAAGTCTTCCGATTGGTTTTGGTTCAAGCAGAGGCTGGGGGTGAAAAGGTCTTTCATGAGTCAGAGAGGCTGGGTACTGCACCCTGGTTCCCCAAGAATACAGAGCTGCTGGGTAACAGAATGAATTCTAATGTGTTTCTTATTAGCAATGTTATTTTCCAATGCTTGAATATAGACACAAGAGATTAAACCTTCCTCAGATTTATGACTTGATTTTTTAGAAAGTGCTGAATACCTAAAATTTCTCAGGTTTCAGAGTAACAGCCATGTTAGTCTGTATTCGCAAAAAGAAAAGGAGTACTTGTGGCACCTTAGAGACTAACCAATTTATTTGAGCATAAGCTTTCGTGAGCTACAGCTCACTTCATAGGATGCATACTGTGGAAAATACAGAAGATGTTTTCATACACACAAACCATGAAAAAATGGGTGTTTATCACTACAAAAGGTTTTCTCTCTCCCCACCCCACTCTCCTGCTGGTAATAGCTTATCTAAAGTGATCACTCTCCTTACAATGTGTATGATAATCAAGGTGAGCCATTTCCAGCACAAATCCAGGGTTTAACAAGAACGTTGGGGGGGGGGGGGTTAGAAAAAACAAGGGGAAATAGGTTACCTTGCATAATGACTTAGCCACTCCCAGTCTCTATTCAAGCCTAAGTTAATTGTATCCAATTTGCAAATGAATTCCAATTCAGCAGTCTCTCGCTGGAGTCTGGTTTTGAAGCTTTTCTGTTGTAATATCACAACTTTCATGTCTGTAATCGCGTGACCAGAGAGATTGAAGTGTTCTCCACAAATCAGATGTCAAGAATTATAACATTCATAAACCAGTCGGAGAACACTTCAATCTCTCTGGTCTACCCCCCTTCCCCCCCCCCCCCCCCCCGTTCCTCAGACATTCTAGTTAAACCCTGGATTTGTGCTGGAAATGGCCCACCTTGATTATCATACACATTGTAAGGAGAGTGATCACTTTAGATAAGCTATTACCAACAGGAGAGTGGGTATGTTGGGGAGGGTGAGGAGAAAACCTGGATTTGTGCTGGAAATGGCCCACCTTGATTATCATACATATTGTAAGGAGAGTGATCACTTTAGATAAGCTATTACCAGCAGGAGAGTGGGGTGGGGGGAGAGAAAACCTTTTGTAGTGATAAACACCCATTTTTTCATGGTTTGTGTGTATAAAAACATCTTCTGTATTTTCCACTGTATGCATCCGATGAAGTGAGCTGTAGCTCACGAAAGCTTATGCTCAAATAAATTGGTTAGTCTCTAAGGTGCCACAAGTACTCCTAAAATTTCTCATGAAGTCTTCTGAAAATCAGGCCTTCCATTATTAACAAATAGATATAATGTTGCTGGGGAGGGACCAATACCAAGAGAGAAGTGGCTGGCTCACTACAAAAACAACTTTCCCTCTCTTAGTATTGACACCTCCTCATCAATTATTGGGAGTGGACCACATCCACCCTGATTGAATTGGCCCTGTCAACATTGGTTCTCCACTTGTGAGGTAACTCCCTTCTCTTCATGTGTCAGTATATTTATGCCCGCATCTGTAATTTTCACTCCATGCATTTGAAGAAGTGGATTTTTTACCCACGAAAGCTTATGCCCAAATAAATCTGTTAGTCTTTAAGGTGCCACCGGATTCCTTGTTATTTAAGTTTAAGACATTAAGGCTGAGATTTTCATCCACTGAAGGGATTTGGCCTC